CTAGTATTTACCTAAGCAGAATGTAATTAAGGAAGACAAACCCTCATTATCAAGGACCCCTGGACAATGCTCTAAGTGGGAGAATTACTTGCTGCTTGTTGGCTGATAAGTTCCCATTGTAAACACAGATAACAGAGATATCTCCTGAGCCTATAAATACTTCTTACTTCTTTGCCTAATCACTTTGACTACAGTTTATATTTTGTCACTGATGACCAAGCAGAAGAGGATACTTGAATATACTCACTAATTTTTCCCACTGTGGTTTCTGCTAAGTGGGTACCCAAATGGTTGAGCAGTACTCTGGAATGAACCTGGTAATGGTTCATCTAAAAACATAGGCATCTCTAAGAGACTAACCCAGGGCCATCCTACCCCTCTGTGTACCTCTCCAAATACTCTCATGTAGCCCTTTGGCTTTTCATGCCATCTGCATGTCATTTACTATTGTTGGATCAGTGAAAGTCCAGGGGGAAAATGGAACCCATGCTTGGTAATACAATAGAGAATTTAGTACTGGAGCTGCTTGCAAAGATGTCAGAAGAGCTATAAGGGTGAACTGGGGAGGATGATTATCTAGACAGTAGCAAGATCAAGAAGTTGCTACCCTCTCTCAAGCTAGAGAGACAGTGGGAATGTGGGTTATATCAATTTAAGAATCTCATGCAAATTTGGGAGTCTTTTAGATAGACCCACCGAAGGGGTACCCCAATTGCCTCACCCTGCGTCCCTGTTCAGCATGGAAGAAGCCAGAGTGGTCTGAGTCTGATACCCTATTGATAATTTGGGTAACCTCTTCAGAGGATGGTGTGATAAGAATAGGAGGTAGGAATTGGCTAGGCAGTTAGGTTAAAAACACTCTGAAGAAAAGTAGCCAGGTTTTTGGCTAAAAGTCAAAATGTCCTTGGGCCCCTTAGCAATATACTCTGTTCCAAAGGCCAAAAATGTCAAAAGTATTTAGGAGAACTTATCTAATCCCTAAAAGATTTTAGGGTTGCTTCTTCAGAGGAGGGGAATGTTATAGTAAGAAAGAAAGAAAGAAGAAAGGAAGGAAGGAAGGAAGGAAGGAAGGAAGGAAGGAAAGAAAGAAAGAAAGAAAGAAAGAAGGAAGGAAAGAAGGAAGGAAGGAAGGAAAGAAGGAAGGAAAGACAGACATGAAGTTGTCAGAGAAAAAGTGATAGGGAGAAATGGAATGTGTTGGAGGGGAGGGAGTGGACGTGGAATTGATCAAAACACCTTATATGCATGTATGAAATGCTCAATGAAGTTTTTTGTTGTTGTTTTTTTTTTAGAAAAAAAAAAGAATTTCATGCAAGCTGGCCCCATGGAGGAGGCTTTGCCACCTGGGGATTCAAACCACTTTCATGCGTTAGTGCTAGGGATGCTGCCCACAGCAGAGGGAAGGCAAAGCAGCCTAGCTTTCCTACCTCTTCCTGATTGTGGTCTTCTGACAGTGCCTTTCCTTGGCCAAAGAAGATCCCAAAGAAGCAAAGAAGCTTGGAAAATGGAGTCTTCATAGATCGCCCTTGAGCATGCTCCACTCTCCCTCCTTCCCACCTCCAAAACCCATACAGAGCAGAGCAGGAAAATCGGGGAAAAAAAATCAAGATTTCAGCCAGCAAATGGTGGATACTACTAGATTGATCTGTACTGCTCAGGTCACTCCTTTGAGCTCCAGATCAATTTCGTTCATTTACATGATGCCTCCAAGTGAATGTCTAATAGTCCTCTCTAACTTAACCTGACTTGGAATGCACTTTTGAATTACATCAGACAACTTCTCTTGATAATTCCTTTCTTCACCCACCACTCAGCCACAATTGCTGATGCCTTCTTAGATCCCTTGCTTTCCTTGCTCCTCGTTCCTTCCAAACTTTCAGCAACACCTGCCGGTTCTGCCTCTCCAAACAGTACTTCTCCAGACCTCTCCATCTCCATGGTCACCATGTTTCTCCCAGGAAATGACAATGACCTCCTAACTGACCATCTAGCCCCATGAGATCCACTTATAATGAACACCCAGGGAGCAATTCCTATAGACTCTGAGGGCAAGGTAAGCATCAGGAGTTTTATTCTAAGGCTGTAGGAGCCATTGAAGGGCGTGGTATAAATTAATTTAGATCCTGATGATATTGATCTGTCTTCCTTGAGGAGAACAATATATGAGGGAGGAGGGAACAAAAAGGAAGAAGGAAGGAGGAGCAGCTGGGAGGAGATGCTATTTCTCAGTCCTCTTCTACCTTCCTCACCAATGCCTTCCTCCCAGCCAATGATCGGCAACCCTTGTTCTTCTAACAGATCAAGCTCATTCATTCTCTAGGGCTTTCTTATAGCCTCGAAAGTTTGCTCTGGTCTTAGCATAACTGACTGCATCACTGAGGCCCTCTGCTCCTAGAGATCTTTCCTGACCAGGCCATAGTTCTCCTGACGACCGTTCACTCTCCTTTGAGGCACAAAGTAGGATTGTATTTCTCTATTCCCTAGACCTTAAGTGTGGCATGACTTGCTTTTGCTAATGAAATGCTGTGGCAGTGACACGTAGCTCTACTTTGGGTCCTTTTTTCCTTTCTACACATTAACTGTCAGTGTTCAGGATAATGGCTACTCCAAGGCCAGAGCCCTAGAGCGAGGATGGCAGTTACCTCAAACACAACTCTCCACCTCATGAGCAGATAGCTTAAGCCATAAACATTTCCTAGTGATTTGTGGTGGAGCACACCCATAACCCCAGCACTTGGGAGGCAGAGGCAGGAAGACTGGAAGTTTAAGGTTATTATCAGCTACATAGTGAGTTTAAGGCCAGCCTGGGCCACATGAGACCTTGTAAAAGGGGATGGATGGCTGGAGAGATAGCTCAGTGGTTAAGAGCACTGGCTGCTCTTGCAGAGGACCTGGGTTCGATTCCCAGCACCCACATAGTGACTAACAAACATCCATAACTCCAGTTCCAAGGAAATCTGATGCCCTCCTCTGACTTCCATGGGCACTGCTTGACACAGGTGCACTTACATGCCGGCAATACACTCACACACATAAAATAAAAATGACAAATAAAATATTTTTAAGAGCACACAAATAACAGAAATAAATCTTTTTGGTATTTGAAATTACTGTGACTATGTGTCCTTATCATAGCATACCTGGCCCCTCCAGACTCTCAGTCCTTCAGTCTCCTACAACAGCAGAGTGTATGTCTGTTGTAGAAATTAATACCAAGGGAAACTCTCTACTTATTAAGCTTCCTTTACTGACTTCGTTTCCATCAGTCATCCCTCCCCAAATTCATAAAAGTTTGTGTGAGCAGAGTCAGTCTACATTGGTTACCACTGTGCCCCCAACTTCTTGAAGTATCCCGAGCACTTGGTTAGCAAGCATTTGTCGAACTTTCAACTGCTTGCATGAACAGTTGTTACTTGAACTGTTTCACCCCAAAACTAGAATGACTGTATCTTGGACTCAGCATGCCCAAAGCACCAAGCCTGAAGTTTCACTTTGCTGTTAGTGAATTAAACAGGCAGCTTGGGTTACAGCCTTCCAGCTAATTCACAGGAAATTCAGCTGCTCCCAAGTCACTAGGATTCGATGGTCAGAAAAGGTTCTGCTAAAGACCATAGAGAACAGAGAACAAAAGAAATGAAACCTTTGAATCTTGAGTGAAGTTGCCCCAGTTAAGAGGCAGTGGAACAAAATTCATCTGGTTACTGTTTTTACTACTGAAAGGCAGACACATGCTGTTCTACCTTTTTTAAAGTTTCCTTTGGGGCAGAATGTAATTCCTCAGAAATGGATGATCAGTCCCAAATTTTATTATTGTTATAAAATATTGACACTGAAAAATGCCTTAGTTGACCACTTATTGGAAAGCACATCACTTTGCATCTGGCTTGATTCATTTTTATTGGAAACCTCTTAGGGTCTCACTGTTGCTTTGCGAGAGACTTAGACTTTAGAACTTCACACTAGAGATGGTGTTACATAGCCATTGTCTTCACTTTTGTTTTTTTAACCCAAGACCTAAAACACAAATGCAAGATAAGTAGTTCTACCAGAGCTACACCCTTAGACTCTACCTTACCATTTCAAACTCCCCTCTACCATGTTTTTTGAGATTCATCTTCATATATTGCCCAGATTAATCTCAAACTCCTGGACTGAGGTGATTCCCTACTGAAGCCTTGCCCTTCTGTGTAGCTGAGACTACAAATGCCTCCAAGTTTATTTTAAATATACCTTTTCTACTCTCCCATAATTCAATTAATAAGGTTCTAAAGACCCTGCTTATCAAATTAATCCTGTGATATATTTAGATTTCATGTTTTTGTTCTTTATTTAAAATTTTTTCTTGAATTCTGAAAATGTCTAAGATGTTGCAGAATAGCACCTAAGAACAGTGAAGTCATTATTTGTAGGACATACTACTTTCGTTAGGTCACCCAAGTAAGGTCTATATTCTACTTACCTAGCTTCCTCATTGAGGCCTTACACTCTGCATTATATCCTCAACAAGCAGGGGTGTTGCATTTAGTTGACAAAATCAGTGGCATTCCTACAATATCAATTCACTGGACATCTGATGTGAACTACCAACTGTTAACATTAATTGAGGGCAACTTCTGTCTTGTTCCAGCAAAATTCAATTTTATTAACCAGGCTGTCCTGAAGTTCAGGTACTTTATACCTGTAATTGAAAGTTTGATTTTTCTTCTTAAGTGCTCATCTCATTTCCCCCCAAGTGCCAAAGAATCTGGCAGTTTGAATACTCCAAGTCTCTTAAACAAAAAGCCATAGCCACACAAGGGAATTCATTTACATGTAGTTAAGGAAACAGGAAATTTCACACTGGTTTTAATGTCTATATTTTACCAAACTTATCCTGAACTCTGAAATGATTACTACCACTTTTTGTGGTATTATTTACTACATCTTAAAAATTAAAAAAAAAAAAAAACTAAGAAGAAAACATACAGTTGAAGAAGACTGGATGTGAGTCTATACAATGATTTACTTTTGGCATGACAGACTTTATTTTGGCACTTTAACAAATATTTTGCTTTACAGCAGTGACAAAATATTTGCCAGAAAGTTCTTTTCCTGGCACAGATGTTCCAAGCAAGTTATTCTATGAATAGAATTTCACTCTGTTTTGCACAGTTAGAGGTTACCCACTACATTTTTAGCCTCTGTAATTGAGGGACATTGTGCAGCTTTAGAAAGACCTATCCTTTCCTTTTGATCATCCTAAACAAGATGAATTGCATCTGTAATTGGGTGAGAATTTGAGAATTAAGGCCATTAGGATTTAGATAAAACACTTTCAAGTGTTGCTGTAACTTTCTTTAAAAAATGCGTTCTGTGGCAAGTCTGGGGAGAGTTCTCTAAATCAAGTATTCAAACTTTATTAAAAGTAAATGTTATGGTGGAAAAGTTGCTGTTTTGCTGTCTTCTTTTTACTTCCATGGCTCACAGTTTAAAAACAAAATTAATGGTAAAATAGAAAAAGGAAATGTTCGGTACAGGGAGTACCCAGCCAGGGCACCCTCATACCTTCACCTCCTCAGGTGTCACTTTTTCTAGCAACTTCCATCCTAAGCAGTAAGGCGCTGACTTAACTTTCAGAGCTTCCCTACCCTTTCCTCCTCTCTCATAAAGCAGCCATTGTGTTCCACACAGAAGTCTTCTGTCAAGTTTCAGGAGAGCTCTGAAAGGTAAATTAATCTGTAGCACTAAGCCTGAGATACCTACTTCCAGAAAGCCCCCTTCAGTTCTTTGGAATTTATAGTCTTAAAGAGTTATTTGCAAAAGAAAGCATCTGTCTCAATATTGCCAGCAGCTATGCTATAAAGGTTGCAAACTCTGAAATTCCCTGGCAGCCTTCCATCCCTGTACCCAGACACCGGCAGGATGATACACTCATTTCCTCTGGCCAATTCAGAGGTGAATCTGATCATAAACAGCATCACTCACGGGCTGGCTCTTTGGTCTTGATTTACAGACACCATTGAATACTCAGAAATCAAACCCACGTCTTCCTTGAGAGCAGACAGTCGTAGCAAAGGGGAGATGTACATTTGATCGAAAATGTACAAAATTTATAACAGTGACATTTTCAATATTAGGCCACATGATTTATTCAGTAGTTTTTATGTTCCCAAATTACAATTTATGTCTATTCATAAGACTACAAAAGTTACCATTAGAATTGTCTGTGCTTATAAAATACCAATTTTTTAAAACTGTTATATATACTCATTAACACCAGTCTACGACAAGTTACATAGAATCATAGGCACTTCAAAGGCTTAAAAAGATGTTTACAACTTAAATGCATTTTTAAGAACAAAAACTGATTTTTTTTTCCCTTTAAACACTTCCTCATAACCTAAAACCTTCAAATTGCAAGAAATCAACAAGCACAGTGGCCAAAGGAATTTGCAGCAACTTCTCAAAATACTGTTAGCATCTTTGGGTTTGCTGAGGCTTGTCAGTTACTCATATCAAATCCTCCGGCAAGAAGACCTGATTGACAGCTAGGACTAAACAGTTTCATAGTAATAATCCAATTTTACACATTAATTTGCTGTTGCAAATCTACCTGAAGCTGCAGGTAATGAAAAATAAAGCAAGTGTAAAATGGATAGTATGACACTTTAAAATTTACACAAAGTGGAGGTTACAGTTTACATATTTGAAAAAAATCACATATACACTAAATGGCCATTATTGGAATCATCCAAAGACAGATTGCACCATGACAGCTACAAAAGGCATTGGGGGGGTGTTTTTGTTTTTAAGGGGACAAGAGTGAAGAGCAGAGAAGAGGGGACAAGAGATAAATTAACAAAGACCCACTCAGTAAGTTCAATTGGAGACACGCTGATGAAAGGAAACAGCTGTCATCTTTGAACCAGAGGACAGAAACAATTTTATATTTGCCCATAGATGTTTAAATCAATTCCATGAACATCAAGGTTTTTCATAACATAATATTTTGCCACTGCTATTCACAGAACACTGCAGATGTTAAATTTTTAATTGCATGTCATTCTAAAGAAATACATGAAAAAATTTTAAATACAATGGGATTTTATCATTAAAGTACCAGAATGGCTCTTTAATGAAAAATAAACAACAACAACAACAAAAAAAACAAAAAAAAAAAACCCGAAGATCTTCATTACTCTATGCAAAAGCTTTATTTTGAAAAGTTCAGTGATCTCATAAATAGAGACACTAAGTGGGAGTTTTATGCGTAAAACTCCTTAGTAGGTGCCTTCTGGTAAGCTGCGCTGGACGGTTTGCGCTCCCCAAGGTCGTAGCTTCCTTCATCCTTCTTCCTCATACGGTACACCAACAGCAGGATGAGGAAAATTGCAAAGAGAAAACCGATCACCCCGCCAGCAATAACGGCTGAAACACACCACAAAGAAAATGCCCTTTACGTAGGAGGCAGGAATTAGCTTGGTCAACCCCAATCTATTTATAAAATGCTTGGTTGGAAAACCCCATTTTTAAAGAGAATAATCTGGATTCAGTAAAGTTACTTATGCTAATTTGACATTCTTCAGAAAGTTACAGTAATATCAACCCAAAAGCCCTAATATGAAAAAAATCTGGCTGTGTCCTCAACTTCCAAATACTTGTGTCTTTTCAGTACTTGGCAGTTCATGGTCTAATCTTCTAATTGTTTTTTTAATGAGAGCACAAAACATGGTATAATTGACTTAAAATGTAACAGTAAATATAAAAAGCATGAAAATTTCTTTCTGGTCTTGAATTTTGTCTGTCCTTACACAAATTAGGTATTATTAAATCTTGGAAATCTATCTCTCTGCATTTTTATTTATTTACATATTTGTTATTGTGTATGTACAAATGTGTATGTAAAGTGCATGCTAAGGCACATGTGTGGAGGTCAAAGGACAACTTTCAGAGTGGGTTCTTCTCTCCCATCCACCATGAGTTGGGAAGAGGGGGCTTGAACTCAAGTCAGCAGCACCCTTACCTGCTGAGTCAGCTCATCAGCTCCAAACTTTCCTCTTTAAAACAAATGTCAGTACATGTTGAGTGAGTAACTCTTATCAGAAATTCTTGGGACCAGGAGTGTTTTTGAGTACAGACTTCTTCAAATTTTGCAAAATTTGCATACATGTAATGAGATATGGGGAGGGGGAGCCAGTCTAAACATGAAAGTCATTTATATTTCATAGCTATTTTATATACATTTCCTGAAGGAAAATTTACACAATTTTAAAAACAAATTTTTTCCTGAAACAAGGTTTGTGTAGTGTGCCTGTGTTTTGGACGTAACCCATCCTGAGCTCAGCTGTGGAATTCTCTACTTGTGGTTTTATATTGACATTCAAAAGGCTTTGGATGTCTGGAGTACTTCAGACTCTCAGATCAGTGATGCTCAACCTGTACTTTCATGAGACCACTTACAATCAGAGACAACATTCTTATCATGTGGGCAGCATTTGTGCCAACCACTCTCCCTACAAAGACCTTTTCCTTCTCTGAAGATGGTTTTGAACTCGGGGATGACCTGGAGCAATGCTGTCTGATCTTCATGTCCCGCCCTGCCCCCATATCCAGTAGTTCCAGGTTAGTTCAGATCTTTCCTCTCCAGGTTGCCTCTTACCTTGGCTCTACCAATGGCTTGCTAAGGGTTAGGTTGCAGGAGGTGGCAGAAAATAGAAATGTTGGTTCAACCTTGCACCTGTCACTCTGGAATGAAGGGCCCTTGAGACTGCTTTCAGGCCAGTGACATGCAGCAAGCTTCATTACAGCCACTGAGTACTACTTACCACTTGTCTCAGTAAGGCCTCTTTAGGCCCCCTTCCACCTGACATCCTGCCCCTGGTTACTCACCTGCAAGGACTTCTGTCCGTTTAAACAGATTGTCTGAGTGTTTCTCAGTGTACACATCTGTGCTCTTTACAGCAGGGCCTGATTTCCCTTCTGCATCAGACACTCGAACTTCCTCTTTGTCAATTTCTTCAGGTGACTGGTATGGGGGGGGACAAAAGAAAACATTAATATCAATTTTTTAATATGTTAGTAAGAAATAATAGGCAAGTATATTCCAAATTCCCTTTCTTTTTAAAATAAGTTTAGCAAATAATTGGAATAATAACTTGTATGATGTTTATGCCAATGGCTAAGGTCTGTGTTAGACCCACGTGGCTTGTGGGTTTGGTATCAACCATCTTCTGCATGCCAAGGATGAGTAGTTAGTAAGTGCATAATATAAGAATGACATGAATAACTTTGCTAGTTGCCATTTCACAGCATCTCTATTTTCTGGGCTGGGAAGCTGGCCCTGTGCATCAAGCTCTTGCTTGTTGTTGCAAGTGTAAAAACCTGAGTTTGACTCTCAGAACCCAAGTGAAAAAGCTGGGCATGGTAGAGACAGGGTGAGCCTATTCAGTGACTTCTAGGCCAATGAGCCAGTCTCCATAAACAAGATGGATAGCTCTCAAGGAACAACACCCAAGGTTGACCTTTAGCCTGCCATATATGTACACATACACATGTATGGATATACATGTTTACTGACACATAGGAACATGTGTACACCCATATAACATCTCTACATTCTTACCACATTTTAGGCCACAACCTTTCTGCAGCTGCTCTATCCCCTTCACCTCTGTACCCAGCACACTGTGGTAACAGTTCTGTCAGACATTCTGTCACGTCTGTTGGGACTCTCCCTGCTCCCAGTCTTACTCTGTCACGCTTTCCTTTACTTCTGCTCCTTCAGTGAACTCTCCACCAGGACTTCAGAGGACCTGACTTCTGAAATAGTTCTTGTGGGAGCCTGACCAAATCATACCATCTTTTCAGATGATAGTTTCCTCATTTAATGAAGGGCACTCCCAGCTCTTAGACACTCTACCATGCTAAAGAATAAATCTATGGGACTGGAGAGGTGGCTCAACAGTTAAGAGTGCTTGCTACTCTTGCAGAGGATGCAAGTTCAGTTCCCAGAATATACATCAGGGGGATCTCAACTGTATGTAACTCCAGCCCCAGGGGATCTAATACCCAAGGACACCTGCATGTCCATTCACACATATGCACAAAATTACGAATATAAAATAAGTCTTAAAAACTCAAGCTGCCATGATTTTCTTAAGTTATCTTTCACCATTACACAAACAGCCATATTTTACTGTTTTCTGTCTTACTACAGAAGAAAACATGGAAGGCCCTCCCTAGCTTTCATGTGCCAAAGTAAAGTGAATGAGAGAAGTTTGTTGGCAGTACTTTGCCTGCTTTCTCTGTTTTCTTCTTATGGACTGTCCCTTGCTGACTCTCTGCTGGGTAGAAGGACAGGTAGCAGATCAGAGAATGGCTTATCTGAGTCCTGATCTAGGAAGCTCTTCATTGATCATTATTAGCATTGCTTTGGTGGCTATGAAGTTAGAGGTTAAGAAAAGAAGTGAAACATCCAGTAGGTAGATGCTCAGGTTTGTATCCAGAGAAAGAGGTAAATGGCTCAGTGTGAAATGAGAAAGACACTGTAGCTTAGATACCAAGTTTACTTGATCCTCATTATCTTTACTCCATTATTATTGTGACAACCCTCATGCTTTCACCTGTTGGTCATGGTGGGTTTTTGTTGTTGCTTCTTTATGTTTGCTTTGATGTTCCTAAAGTCATTTAAGAGAGTTAATTTGTTCAGTTCCTTTTGACTCAACTTCTAAACCATAAGGAGGCAAAAAATTATTCTACGGATGACCTAAGGGTATGGAGAAAGAAGAGCTCCACAGAAGTGGCACTTAGGAGAGTGGTCCATGAGTGCACAAGTTCAAGGCACTCTGCATGGAACATTCGTTGTTCAAAATTTGAAAAGCTCAATTGAATAGAAGAAACCCAGGCTCAAGTATGAAGAAACCATCCCACAGTGTAGAACCAATTTGAAATCCCTTCACTCTCACATATATATCTGCGCAGAACGAAATTATAAAAAGGCAGTACACATCATTAAATGAAGTCAAATGAAGATTTATTGTATCCATGTCTGGTTGTTTGGAGGACATGGGAATGTGGTGGGGGGAAGATAACAAGTGATTCACTGTGTAAATAAGGAACAACTCTTTTCACTCTTTAATCACATAAATTTACAACAAACTAGATAGAATATCTAACGGTGTCCCTAATGCCACTGCAAAACCTATTCAAAGCAGAATGGCACTAATGGCATCCTTGAAGCAATGTCTAATCCAGCTTTATTATGTAACTACAAAGCAGAAAATTTAGCTACTATTATTGTTATTCATGACCAATATCATTTATATTTGTACCTACAAGTGTGTGAAACACACCCTGAATAAATCTCCCCTGAACTGCTAGATTCTTATCCTTATACTGAATATAACTAAAATGTGAATATAAATGCATTAATATGTTCTGAGATCTTTAATTTCTAAATTCATCCACCCAATGTGTATATTTGTCATCAAGAGCTGATTCAGTTATTCTTTATTGTCAATTTTACAAACTTAAATCAGTTTTCAATCCATTCTTGTCAGTAGCCTGGAAATCTATAACAAACTGGGTTTTGATTAGGCTACAACTTTTCATCACTGAAAGCCAAAACTGCCCCAGCAGTGTTTCTTGCCCCAAAATACTAAGTCTTAATGGTCACTGAGTTAAAAAACAAAACAAAACAAAAACAACAACAACAGAAAAAACCTGTCTAGAGGAGAGGTCAAGTAAAAATGTGGGAAAGACCAAACTCATCTTTCTACGAACACATATTCACACTCTGAGCTATTCAGTCATCTACTATCAAACGGTACCTGATCCTTTAAATTTTTCCTCTCCTTGTTTCTTTAGTTCATTCAATTTAGACACTGATGGAACAGCTTCCAGAATATGCTATATACATCTGCCTCACTCTTCATGGAACGTCTCCTTGCCTTCCTGTTCCCTGGCTTGTGGAGTCAGTCTGCTGGCAATAGTAACTGACCCTTCTTAAGCCTAGAGAGAGCAAATTAATCTGTATAGAGCTGAGCTCTTGGCAACTGCATGTTTCTGGGAGGTATCCCTTTGTGCCATTGCAGCTTGGTTCCATGACTAGGGAAGACTAAGGAAGAAGAGGAACAGGGTACTCTGCTAAGGCTGGGAGAAGCCTACTTGTGTTCCCGCCAGCCGAAGGGCACTCCTTGCTTCAGAGAAAGCTGTCACTGCTTCATGAAACAACCTTCCAAATCCTGTCTGCTGCAAAAGCTTCACAGCATCTTACTTCTAACCAACAGATGGGTGAACTGTAAAGGGGGATGCTCATGTTGCTAAGTTTTCATAAGAAGCATGCTATCCCTGAAGTGTGTAAAGTCTACTGCTCCAGTTATTACACATGCTCATTTGTTGAATTTGCTTGATCTCTCATGCTTCAACAAATTCAATTAACGTTTACATACTACTTACCAGGTTTCAGGTGCCATGCCATATATATTCACATCTAATCTTCCTAATGATCCAAGAAATTTGACTAGATCCAGGATTCAAAACTTGGGTCTTCATCAGACTCTAATATGCACTTTCCAGCTTAAATAACTTACCTCTTAGTGGATGGCCAGGTGAAAAGCATAAGCTCAGAGTATTTTTTATCTAGTAGCTTTGCTATGCTCTAAGGCAAATCATTTTATTCTTATTAAGTAAGCTTTCAAAATGAATCAATACAGGTGTATCAGGTTCAATATTATCATCAAAAGTGAACCAAATTTATGCAGTGCTGATGCTAGGCCTGTAGAGACCTTGAGAAATGACTCACTGAGACTCAAACCATCTCAGGACAGGACTTGGAGCCTCATTCTTTAACCTATCCTAAGACGTGTAAAGTTCTTGATGTTTTTAACTCAAAATATTATATATGACATGAAGAAAAAGTCTGACTTAAGACAAAGAAATAAGGTTTTGCTTCTTAGCTAGGCTCAAGAAGTTCCACATGAAGAAGTGCATGTAAAAAAAATATTCCTATGGAAGTCAGTCAGTCCTAGGTGATGAGCAGTAAGCAGTCAAACACCAAAGTGATGCTACTGAGCAAAGAAGAGCCATTTACAAGTTAATGAAAAGACCATTTATCCTTATATAATTTCAAGTGAGGCCTCTTAAAAGCACTGTTCTCTGTGGTTACAAGGAGGTGTATTCACAAGCATGTGCTAATGCAATGTCAAGGAAGCACACCTTCGTCTGAGCAGGCGTGTGGCTCTGTGTCTTCAGCGTCATGGTTTCCACTTTTGAAGCAGCACTAGTGAACGGTATCTTTGGAAGTGGTCGGGATGTTGTCAGCCCTGGGCTCTCTATGTCCTCATCAGCTCCTAGGAAAGAAGTGAAGAGGAGCTAAGCATGTGAATCACGACACAGATTTGTACACTATCACTCAATACCATCGAATGTTCATTCAAAGTCTTGTTCTCAAAATGCCCATCCTAAATCTTTCACGACAAATTCCTTCCAGGGGTTCTGTGGGTAGCCAGGCATTTCTTTCCATAATATTATCAACCTGATCCCTTCCCAATAGCCCCTGTTTCCCTTGCATATTCAATCTGTTCTGCTCAAAATGATTTTTTTTTTTTCGGGAAGGGGGGTGATGTCTGTGTTAAAACATACTTTTTTCTATCTTGAACACCAGAACCAATCAAAATATGAAAAGTGAAAACTCTTCTATAGCTGACTGCTTATCTCATGGCAAGTTCCTGCCCATTCTCACTCTTTTATAGCTGACTTCCTCAATGGCATTGTGGACTTTCATTAGCTCCTGTCTTCCCCATCTCCTCCACTCTGCCTGCTCCTCCCAGTTGGACTGACCCTGTCATCCACTACTGATACTTTTTGTTAATATCACCAGTATCCTCCTTGTTGCTGTATCCAACGGCTTTCTTCTGAGAGGTCCTCACTTAAGCAATCCTTCTTGTGTTGGTTGGGTAAATTTCTCCTAAGGCCCATGTGCTACAGGATTGGCCTCCAGCTCATCACACTAGTAGGAGGGAGTGATATCTTTAAAAGGTAGGGACCACAGGAAGAACAGTCACTGGGTGCATACCTTTGAAGAGGACACTGTGAACTTTCTGTATCTCTCTTTTACTAACTGACTACCAGAAAGCACTCCCACCATGATGTAGCCTAGCTATAATCCCCACAGCAACAGGTCAATCAACCATGGAGTAAAACCTCCAACATTGTGAGTCAAAATAACCTTTCCTTTCCTTTGAATTGCTAATCTCAGACATTTTGTTACAGCAATGGAAAACTGACTAACACATTGCTAGTACCATTGGACACTGCCAATTGCCATCTACTTAACATGCCCTGTTTCTATGAGTTTATAACTTCCTAACTTTCCTGTTTCTCTGGATATTATAAACGGCCAGGTTTGTCTGCCTCCACCAGAGTCCCAAATATCAAAGGCTCCTTATGGTTCCGTTCTAGGCCTCTTTTTTATTTTTAAGATTGTGTGTGTGTATGTGTGTGTGTGTGCAAATGCATGCTTCAAGTGCCTATGGAGGCCAAAAGAAGGTGTTGGATCCCCTAGAGCTGGATATATACTAAATTGTAAACTATCTGACATGGGTGCTAGGAATCAAATTTGGGCCCTTTGCAAGAGCAGCAAGAACACTTAACCACTGAGCCATTTCTCCAGTGTTAGTCCAGGCTTTTTCTTATTGTATGCTTTCTCCTTCAGCCATATTCATGGCTTCAATTAACCCTATAATTATGAATGGTATCTAAATTTCTGATGATAGATTTTACCACCTCTTTTCAATTCAGACATGTACATCCACTGGCCTGCTTGACGTTTCACTTGAATACTCAAAGATACTTCTAACATGTCTAAAACAAACTTAGGATCTTTCTTTTCCTCTTGCTCTCCTCAACCCAGTCTTCCCTGCATGTTACCCTGAAATGACTGGAACTCTCCTCTCCATACCAGGACTCTGACTTCCTTTTCCTTACCTTCATGTGGACTCCATCAGCTAGTCCCATCAATTTTACCTTCCTAATGTCTGTCTGGTCTGACACCTTTCTATAGGTAGAGAAACACTACCCTAATCCAAGCTACCATGACCTTGTAGGCAACTCCTATGTGGCCTTCTTGCTAACAAGACCCTTTCAGTTGACTGAAAACCCACTGTCTGTGTATTAGCTGTGAGCCCACTGCCCCTGTTTAAACCCTTACAAGGGTACTTTATTGCTCCTTGATTGACTATACAATACCTCCTACCATCTAACTGTGTGTGGATTAGTCTTGGCTTACCTATTCAGTTTCTGTGAACAACTCTGCCCCCTGTTTGAGCCATGATGCCTTGATCCTTCTTCTAGAATTCCCTACCTACTTCATTCCCAATTCATCCCTGGACCTTGGGGAAGGCATTCTTCCTATATGAGGCCAAAGTTCTGTGTTAGTTATTAGTACCATCTTTCTTACCCTAATTGCTAATTTGTTATGTTAATAGGAAGTTTTCAGCTCCTTGTATAATCTTAGGGGCCACTATCACATATTCAGCACATTACTGACCAAAATATCATCTTGGGGTATATGGCAATATACCCATTACAGATATGGTACAGACTTGGAAGCAATCTGTACATGCAAAATGTTCTATAAAAATAAGTCATTAATGACTTACTATCCCAAAAATACACGACTCTTTCAGATCAGCCTACTGATTATCCATAAAAGCTTTACATATTATATGCTTGATTTGTTATTACAAGGAATCTTTTTTCTCTTTTCAATGAATCATTTTTTACAAAAAAAAAAACAACAACCAAAAAACATAATCTCGGGGCTGGAAAGATGGCTCAGTGGTTAAGAGCCCTGACTGCTCTTGCAGAGGACCCAGGTTTGATTCCCAGCACCCACGTGGTGGCTATGAACCATCCTTAACTCCAGTTCCAGAGGAATCCGAAGCCCTCTTTTGACCTCCGTGGCACTGAATGACACAGGTGCACTCACATACATGCAGGCAATACACTCATACACATAAAATAAAAATAATAAATAAAATACATTAAAAAACCTCATAATCTCAATGAGGAATGATACTTTTCAATTAAGGGTTTTAAAAACACCCTCCCCTCTTCTAAAAGAATTCTAAACATGAGTCACCAAGCTATGAGTGAGGAGTAGGTGAGTGAGAGAAGAGATCTGTAATGTAAAAAAGTCAGACCAGCACTTCCAGAGTTAGAGAAAGATGTGTGTTCCACCTTAGTTGCTATTTTTATGATCATGAATGAAAAGCTGAACTCTTTTGCCCAAGCAAGAAACCAGGATGCTCTCTTGATTATGTCTCTCCAGGCCCTGACTCTCAACCTGCTTCCAGTCTCAGCCTGAAATAGTTATCCCATGGCCTGTCTCCACCTCCCTTCACATAGCATCATGCTCAGCATCAATGTCACCCCTCTCTGAAGCCTTCTGCCATCTTCTATTTCTGTGCTGCTGTTGTGTCTCTTCTGTTTTTTTAAGTAGTGCTTGGATCAACTTATACTACGCCTCATACCAAGTTCATAGATTGAAATGTAGTACCCAGCAAAGTAGTATTAAGAGGTAGAGGCCTTTAGGGAGGTGATTATGTTGTGAGGGTTCTGTCTCACAGAATGAATGAATAAGCACCTTATAAAGGAGGCCAGAGAGAACCTATTTGTTTATTCTGTCAAATAAGAATGCAGCAAGAAAGTACTCCCTCTGAAGCAGAAAGAAAACACAAACAGCACATCTGCTGGTGTCTTGATTTTTGACTTCCTAGCCACCACAATTGACCAATATAGTTAAACTATTTATAAGTTACTCAGTCTAAAGTATTTTGTTCTGAACCCCCAAAATGGACCAAAATGACCTAGGACATATTTATAAGAAAGAACCCATTTTCATGGATGAAATTTTGAAACACAGAAATAGGTAAAGGAATAAAGAGAAATATCTCATACCATAGGAAACATTGTTAAATTGTATTTACTGAAGTGTTCTTCAAATGAATGCTGTTGGTTCCCCTTGTAGTTAATAAATGCTTGGTGAATGAATACATTCTCTCTCTCTCTCTCTCTCTCTCTCTCTCTCTCTCTTTCCATTGTCTAGTAACTTTTTTCATTTCTGACATCAGAGTTCCATTTCATGAACGTTCCTACTCTATGGTATCCTGTTACTGTTCAAGGCATTTTCTTATCTCTGGGAATTTAGTAAGATTTTCTGCAAGTTTTCTTCTTCCTGTGAGTTGCTGTCTTCTCCCAGTTTGGGAAAATCTCTCTTTTATGTGGCAAGGTTTTCATAAGCACCTGTGGAGCCCTAGTTGTCATTTCACATTTAAACACAGAAAAAAATGGTCTTAAACATAGAAACAGTTGCTGGAAGGTCTGAACACACAGGAAAGGTTGGTTAAATGCAGATATCATCTCTTAAGATGGAGCAAGCTCTACATTTTCCTAGAGAGTTCCAGATGCCACCCCTTTTAAGTAAGTTTTTAGTTGGCCCAAATCCACAGAGCGCAGCCTCCAAGTCCCTTATCCAAGGATAAATGACAGACAGCAGTGTTTTAGAATCTGACTGGGAAGAAATTCCCTGGGGATTTGTCAGCATTAAAGAACTTTTAATCTGAAAATATACCTAATTTTTCAGATAAGGTCTTTCTATTTGTCCAGGCTGACCTTGAACTCGAGCTCAAATCATCTTCCAGCCTCAGTATCCCAGTAGCTAGAACTACAGGTGCCCAGCACCAAAGTCAGCTGTTCCCACATTTTTAAATATGGTATTCTAAGTCCATGTTTTATTTTAGATAATAAACCTGTAGTTTTGCTCCAAGGTAAGAGGTGAGTCTCTGTGTTGTATGACGAAGAGAAGGAATCATGAACTCTACTTGATTCTTAGACTTTCGGTCAGTCACCCTGAGATTAGCATCACTTTCACCTTCCATTTATGCCATCGTTGTGGGGTACCTGGGGCTTTCAAGTCTGCTGGCTGGTTTGTGTCTTGGCTCTGCCCAGTGTTGGCCAATTCAGCCTTCCCATGTTTGCCAAGACTGGTACTGTGAGCCCAATTGTTTCCCTCCTCTCAGTACTTTGTGGCTTTTTTCTGTGTTACTGTCTTGGTGAGTTCACAACCAATTTCTTTAATATCACATAAGTTTGAACACGGAAGGTATTTCTGCTCAATCTGCCATTTTTAACCAGAAGTCAACTATTTATTTTCATTGGACAGTACTTTCCTACATTGCCACCAATCACACGGTATCACAATAAATATTTTTTATTTTTAGATTTCTCTCAATGAATATTGGTCTCTTGGGGATGGGAGTCAAGTCTTTCCTGTGTGTATTCCAAAAAATTAGTACTTTGTATGGCACATAATAAATTCCTATGAAGGTTATCAGTCTCTCCAGCCACTGAAGGAGGAGTGAATTTTTGAGAGCCTGTGTGTACCATTCCCCTCCTAGTGTGTGTATGTGTGTGTGTGTGTGTGTGTGTGTGTGTGTGTGTATAAAATGTGGGTCTGTCACTTTGCTGGAACATGCTCTCCCAGCCTTTATACATTCTGTTCCAGGCCATTTGCTTTCTTATTGGATAACATGAGGGGATTTAGGCCAGGCGGTACACTGGCCAAAACACTGAGGGATTCTGGTGTTTCCAGCTAGGACTGGGCATCAGTGAGGCAAGACCTCTTAATTCTACAATGGTGTTTTATAACACAAGAGGTAGAACAGTAGAGAACTGAAAGACAGCACTCTCTCAAGTCCTACTTCCTGGTCCCTGTCCCAGCTCTCTTGCTTTCTGACAGTGTGAGATGAAAGCGAATTCCTCAGTCTCTTAGTACCTTAGATTGTGTCAGGTGGAAAGTGGAGATAACAGTGTCTGTTCTCACAAGGATGTTAGAAGATGGAGCAGGCCCCAGCACATTGTAAATGCTTCACAAATTTTAGTAACCAGCACTGTTGCCTTTAATCTGAAAAGCAATATTCACAGTTTCGAAAGACAAGAGCCATGTCCTTCCTGTTTATCACCTCAATAATCTGCCTAAAGCTATAGTTGTGGCTGAAGAAATGAGCCTACATCATTGTCTTAGTGCCATCTAGTCCATCTGTTGAGTGGGGTCAAGATTTCAAATGTACTACTCTAAATACCTGGATGATGTGGGGAGGGCAGGTAAGCAGTACTGTGCACCTGTTTCTCTTAAAGGTAAACACAATCTCAGGAAGAGTCAGCAAAATAAGTTGATAACCTCTACAGGAGTCCAATAACCCTTGGATTCTAAGATCTGTGAAATGGGGGCCCACAAGCATCCACATTTATTATTTCCTGGTACATTTTGAAGACGACAGTTACAAGGCACTTTTGAGACGCTGAAAAAGAAGAGGTGTCATGAGTGAAAGATATTAATAGAGTTGTGGGAAATGGAGAACAACTCCTTCACACTCATTCTGATTGTGTGATCTCTATCACACGCCCTAGAATAACTAAGGTTATTTTTACAGTAGAATGGCATTGGATCTCATTGTTACTAGGTCAGCTGCCATGGCTCTTGTTTCTTCAGACTTGTCATTTTCAAATATAAAACATTCTTGTAAGTCTATATCTTTACCAGGACACAAGGGACTTTCTTTGTTCTGGGTCATTCTGAAACCCAGACCAATCAGATTGGCACATGTTTATGTTTGGCATAATGTTGGCCGTCTATTAAATCTGAAGAGTCTGAGAAAGAAGACTCTTAAAAACTATTAACAAGACCTGTCTTGAATGCTGCTGGCCAGGCATGTCTCGTTTGTCTACCAACTAAATATATATGCAGCTCTTCCTTTTCTCAGCTTCTTGGGAGCCATTCCTGATACAGGTGAAACACTGCCAGGTAAGATACATTAGAAAAAATGACCAGGCTCCTTTATTCCTCCTGCATCCCCTACAATGTGATAATAGTGCCCTCCATTAAAAGATGGAACCTGGGGCTGGGAACATTGCTCAGTGGAATGCATATGTGACACCCTGGATGTATGGTTTGAATATGAAATGTCCCCATAGACTCAGGTATTGAATACTTGGTCCCTACATAGTGGTGTCATTTTGAAAGATTATGGAAACTTTAGGAGGTAAGGTCTAGCTGGAGGAAGTTAAGTCACTGGAGGCAAGCCTTTGATAGTTATACCTGGTCCTCATTCCTTCATTCTTTCCTGTCCACTATGAGGGGAAGAGCCTCCTCCACCACATACCCCAGTTACCATGATGATCTGCCCAAGCTCATGGGGCCAAACAGGCATGGACTGAATCCTCTGAAACCAGGAGCCAATCAGTTCTTCTTCTCATATGATATTTCTGTCAGGAAAAATTAAAGCTAACATACTGGCTTTGATTTCTAGCCCTGTAATATCAACACACACACACACACACACACACACACACACACACACACACAGAAGTGATGCTGTGCCAAACTGTAAGTCTAGGATAGGATCTTTGTTTCACTCTGTGAACAAACGGCTGACCACCTGGAGAATGAGAGGCCATGTGGATGACAACCAAGTCTGCTCAGTTCTCCCAGACATATGAGAGATCCCAGCCAGGATCAGTCAAGCTTCAGCTACAGACACATGAAGAGCCAGCCCTAAACTGCCAAGCTGCAAAATAATGAGTTAAATGAATGTCTATTGCTCTAAGCAATTGTGTGTTGGGGTGGTTTGCTACGGAGCATTCCATAGGTAATAGATAACTAATACACCAAAGAAGTCAAAGATATCACCCCACCTTTATTTCACCTGACTGCTAAACTGTCCCTCCTACTTGTGAGCAATATACATAAGAAGCTTACATGTTTTATGTTTCATCTATAATCTTAGAAAAGGGCAGGCATTTTATGAAACTTGTATTTGCAGGATTTTAAAAGATGTTTTCCATGACCTCATTCTGAAAGTCTTAACAATAAATATTAAAGCTAACATCGCCTCTCCTTTAATCCTCACAACAGCTCTATGTGGCAATATGGCTAATACTCTCTACTTTGTAAATGAAGAAACAGACTCAGCAAAGTTAAATACATTCTCAAGCTCTCATGGCTTAAGTAGAGAGCTAGAATTTGCACCCCCAAACCGTGCTCTTAACTGCTACGTGTTACTCTTGTCCTGGAAGAAAACAGCAAAATGTGTGTGTATGTGCAGGCTCAGAGAGTGCCATCCAGCAGGCAGCCTTACCTGAGCCGGAGGCAGAAGAATAGTCATCATCATCAATAGGATACACTCCAGAGGCTTCTTCAATGGAGCTGTTGTCAAGGTACATGTCTTTATCAGATGTCAGCTCTGTTCTCTGAGAAAGGAAAGACAAGAGATTCAGAATGGCCAGAGAAAGAAACATGTTAGTTTATCTACTGTCCAGGTGTTGCATATGCTGCCCTGGGAAGACCCACCCCTACCCCCATTGCTTCGAATCCTCATGTATATCCATCCCTTTACCCAGGATACTTTAACCACTTATATGAAATCAAGTGCCCCAAGGAAGCGCATGTGGCCAAATATAATAGGATGATGACAGAACAGAGATCCAAGCACCTCCCATAGGCTTATTTATTCCACTCCACTAACCTTGTCTGAGTAGCCATTGCCCCAATGCTCAACGTTCCTTCTATCACAAATGAGATTCCTTGACTGAGAAAGCTAAATAACAAAACACCCAAATCACTTAAGATTTTCTTGGGAAAGTACAGCAATGTATTATGGCACACAATTAGGGACACATCAAGGCACAGCAGACATTCACAGGCCTGCCCATACTTGACTTTCTCACTCAAATAAGTGCTCTCCAGTTGCCTGGGAAGCCCAGCATTTTCTGTACAACTCAGATCCAGGCTGATGCCAGGCAGGGCAACCTGCATAGGGCAGGGCCTGTGGGGCTCATCTGCTAAGGATGAGAGCCCACTGCAAGTCCACTTCTGAGGCTCACTGGCTTATCAGAGCCTTAATGACAAACACAGATAAACCTATAAGAGCACTTTTTCTTATATTAATGGCACATGGTAATAGCAAATCATGGACTTAATATGGAGAGGGATCAGTCATTGCATACACCAGCTCCACAGCTTCTTAGCTCTTCAATAAGAGGTTAGTATTAAAATTCACTCTCTAATCCTGCCAAAGGAGTAACTTGTATGAACTGCAGACAGAGTGGCTCAAATGTTTTTAATGGTTTTAGTAAATTGATATTTTACCACCAGTATCTCAAGACTGGCAGCTTCTAAGCAAAGTTTGCATTTGGAAACAGGCAACAATCATTATTGTCCTATTTTTAACGATCAGATTGGATGTTTGTCTCTCACAGGAATTATAAAAAATGTTGCCCTTAATATGTTGGCTTCCATTAGATTTCCACTAAAAATAAAACTTGGTTTTAGCAGCTGCTATGAGTGAGCCTTCCTGGGAGGACTGACAGGCCAGGCTTCTGGAACAGCAGTGCTTTATTCTCTCAAGTTTCAGAGACTGGCTGGAGAGGCCAAAGGGTTTTTAATGTGAGCCCACATTCTCTACCTGCCTCAGTGCCAAATGACAAAAAGGTAAGGGAATCATTCTGTCTGAGCTATCACACTGGCAGATTCCGAGGATAGAGTCCAGGGTATTTGGGTTCAAGAAAGCTAGTTTTCAGGCACGCAAACACTCCAAAAATGTTCTGGAACTTTCCTGCCACATAGTCAAAGCTTCCCTCTGCAATGTAAGGCCATTCTGCCCAACACCAGTCTCCAAGTCTCTGTCCATTCCAGACCTTAATTCCCAAAGCTTGCAAACTGAATGAGGTTTACGCAGCTCTTCATCTCACTCAGCTCTCCTGACATAAAGGACTGTGAAACAGCTCTCCACATCCATGGTTTTCATATCCCTGGATTTAAACTACTGTGGACTAAAAATACATAATTTAAAAAATTAAGTTGGGCCAGGCATAATCCCAGCAGTAAGGAAAGTGAAGCAGGAGGATCACAAGTTTGAGGGCAGCCTGGGCTATATAATAGGACCTTGTCTCGAAATAGCTAAGTAAATAAAAATGAAAAGTCTGTACTAAGCATATTCAGGTTTTGTTTTTATTTTTCTTATCCTTATTCCCTAAGTAGTAGAAGTAACAACTATTTATGCAGCATTTACATTGTATTAGGTCTTATAAGCAACCTAGAGATGGTTTAACATATACAGGAGAATAGGATGATGTGTATAGCTTATATGCAAATACTATACCATTTTATATTAAAGGCCTGAGCATTCGTGGATATTAAAATGCAGGGGGAATTATGGGATCAACCTGTGCATACCGATGCAACAGGATCTTCTGTAAAGCCTCCCCACTCCATACCACTGAATCTCAAACCCTGGCGTATAGTAGCTGCCCAGTAAACACTGCTTGATTTGAACCAGTTTGCATTTCCACCTAAAAGCTACTGTCAGGCCTGCTTGCATTAACTTTATCTGATGACCCTTTGAACCCTGTCAAATCCTGACTACTTTTCAAATCACTCTGACTTCTCTAGGCAATACCTTGTATGTTCCCTAGTTATAAACAGCATTGTTTCTGATTTTGCAGTCCTTTCACCAGTTAAAACATACCTTCCCACTGTTATTTTTAATTGGCTCATAAGCATTCACTTCGCCTCTCATTGACAACAATGTGCTAATGCAGGTTTTGAATAACCTGTGTGAGCTTGTTCTCTGTTCCTCTTAAAGTGCATAGGTGCTTAATAAATATTTGTCTACTGAGATTATTGAACCGTGTTGGCTTAAGCAATCTTTGACTCAGGTTTCAGAGTCGAGACCTTCAGAACCTCTATAGTTAAAAGCATCGATTTCAAGTCTGGGAGATAATCTGCCCCAAACTTCTCATATCTTAATCTGCATCTACTTAAGAGTCATAAAAGTAGAGTCCTTTACAATTTAAAAGCCAATTTATATTTCCTTATATTAGATGCATCTCATTTTCTTCTTTGTTTTCTCAAAGAAATTTGATGTGGCAGTAGGGACACAGATACTTAATCCCTAAGTACCAACTGAATTTCCAGTCATTAGATGATCCAGTTGTCTAGAGCAGCTTATCTGTCAGCTATCAGGCAGGTTGGCTAAAGATTTCTCCCAGAGACTTCCACCTACGTCACACTTCAAGCATACTGGGCAACCTGATAAGCCACTGGCTTAAGAGGCAACTGCGAGGCATGGATTCCTATAGGACTAGGGGTAGAGGCAAAGGGTGACCTAGAGAAGCAGCCTGTCCTTAGCTACTTGGAGCCTGCAAGGCTCCAAGATGGCCCAGGTTAGCTAGATATTAAATGTATTTGGAGGCAGTCACAAGTATTTGTTTCTCCATTATCCATTGCAGTGCAAGTAATTTGGACATCAAGTTAAAAATATTCTTGGGCTGGACAAATGGTTCAACAGTTAAGAGCATTGACTGCTCTTGCAAAGGACCCAGGTTTCATTCCTAGCACCCACATGGCAGCTATGAACCATCCTTAACTCCGGTTCCAGGGGAATCCGAAGCCCTTTTCTGACCTCTGCGGCATTGCATGACACGGGTACACTCACATAAATGTAGGCAATACACTCGTACATGTAAAATAAAAATAATAAAATATTTTAAAAAGCATTCTTACCCACTCTCATTTTTGGAGCACTAGGAACACAAGAGGAATTACCGATATCCTTCTATAGAGTTCAGTTTAATAGCAAGCAGGGACCTTTTCACATGCAGCAGATAATGTTCCAAGAATTCCTCCATTGTCCCACTCCCCCAAAATTGTTCCAAACAAGACAAATTCCATCTTTGAAGACTCCATACTCCATGCTGTTAAGGGATTTTACCGTTAACAAGCTTGAAAACACAAGGAAATTTTGTACTAACTATCCCTTAAGACAAAATGATGTGCATCTCTTCAAGGCTGTGAGAAGATAAACTCATAGGCCAGACCCCATCACCCCCATATGCTCTGCATGTACTCAGTGGCTCAGTGGGGCAGAGTAACTGGATGAAGGCAGCTGGAAGGAAATACACAGAGGCCCTGAGCCAGAGCTGACTACAGGATTTCATAAGGAGGCTATTTGATTTGGGTCTTACCGCGGCTGTGAGGCAGTGCCCATCCTGTTGGCTAATAGGGTTCAGAGTGCAAGCTAGAACAACAAAGCTGGCCTTTCATACCTTTTCCCCTCAGCTGATACAAGATGTGAATACAGGAGCACAAAGGGGGTTATGGTAAACAACAAGGAACCACGAAGAGGAAATCTGCTGCAAAAAGGGCTGGGGCTCCACTCCATGCTGGCTTCACTTAGAGAAACTGAAGCAGAGCACCTGCACAGATTAAATCCCAGAGGAAAATGACAGGTTATAGCTCCATTCTGCCTAGAAGGAAGATAAGTTGTGTATTTGCCCTTCTGATTTTATACCTCAACTTCAGTGACTTCATCTTATTGGGCCTAGACCGCTGCTGAGGCTTCCTGACTTAGCCCAAGTCTTTGGCTTCAAAGTCATTCTCTCATCAGAGAGATCATTCCCAAACACAATCACATCATTCCTTTTTATTGGCTTTCCATCATCACTCAGAGGACAGAAAAGTTCCTTAACCTGGAAGGAACTTCTCTTACCACATGACCTCACTTGTATCTGCAATGTCAGCTGCTGCTACATTTGCCACCCAAGCCCCTAGCTCCAAGACAAAAACACCATGAAAGAAGTCTGGTGACATCAGCTTCTTCATATAAAATCCTAAGAGTCTCCTTGAAGGATGGAACATTGAAGAAAGCAGTGGTGAGCAAAGGTACTTGAGGATGACAGCTAGGTTTATATACAGTGACTGAGCCCAGAATGGTGTTTGTAAGAAAAATGAAAAATAAATTGAGAAGATAGAAAAAAGCAATTGTTGATTCTACACATGAAAGAAGAGGGCAGCCTCGTTGGTTACAGTGACAAATATCACAGACCCACCCATTTTCCCAACCAAGACGATGTGGGTCACTGAACAAATCAACTTCATTTTTCTCACACAGGTAAAGCCTACATTGAAGAAATGACATTTTTCAAACTTCCAGAATGGGATCTGTTATTTAGAAATCTGCAGCCTTGTTTGAAAGACTCGTTATCTTACCTAACCAATAAATGTTCTCTGACTAGAGCAGCCCATACAGTGGTCAAGATAATCAAAGTTCAAAGCAGTAAGTGTGTAATTTACTTTATGGTTTAAATTTGGGTTAACAAAATCGGGATAAAAAAATCTAACTACTTATGGCTATCCCAGACCCAACTGTTGAAAACTGACCTTTGAACATAAAAACAAAAATATCCTTATA